TTACACTATAAAATCAAAATATTCTTGTTATAACGTTATTTATACAATAAAAAAATTGAATTGTGAAGGGGCAGGGAAAGGTATTTGCATACAACCTTTTCTGCTTACCTGCTTGATTATTTCTGAATTAGGGAGAATATCAAAAAGTATTAGTCAGATAAAGCATTTTTAGAGCTAACTGAAATTTTAGATATAATGTAGTTTAATTCCCTCACATTTCCAATGAAATTGTTAACTAGAAACTTTTAAAATGTCTCAGGGTTATACAGATACTTACTGCCAGAATTTTGACTACATTTCAATCTTCTCATACCCAGTCTGAATATCTTTATTTTTTTTAAATTTCATCATATCTCAAACTCATTAGTCTATGTAAATTAAACTTATCTAGAAAATGCTTAGTTTCCCTTAAAGTCTAGTAAACTCAACTACTCAGCTTACATAGACAGAAACAGAAATATCTATAATATACCGTATAAAATCTATTTGCATTTAACAGAAGACTGTGTTAGTATTAGCCCAATGGAGTTGCTGAAAGATCAATTTATTATCGGACAGCTTGTTGCTCCTTTATATTTAAAACAATTAACACTAATGGACTGGAATTTATTCTGTTCTGATAATTAAATCAACACAAAAAGTTGTAGGCAAGTAATATTTAAATATAAATTTGAGTGGAAGTGTGTGATTCATTTATGTAAGAATCATAAGATCAATACTTGGAAAATTGTTCCAACCTATCACTTGTAAGTAGTAATAACCAAGGGTAGGCATAGTCTAGGGGAAGTCTAAGGGGACAAATGAGTGTGTATATATATATATCATAATTTCCCTATCAGCTCAGAATAAATTTTCCTTCATTAAATGACGGTCACAGTTTGTACTCTTTAGAACAAAATCTAAGTAAATGAAGACTGTCTTGTTTATATACCTATTGATATTCCTTTTCCTCTCTAATATGGAAACTTATCTGTGAGTAGCATTATCAAGTCATAAAACTTGTCTGAAAAGGAGAACATTTTATTTTCCATTTTGTATTAAAAACTAAGGAAAAGCACTTTTTAAAAAAAATGTTCATTTTCTTATCATTAAAATATGAGAAAAATACTTATGGTAACCCCTTTCCCAAGGTTCTTGTAAAGAATCAAATGAGGTAATAGCTTTTAAAAAAGTTCTTAGCAAAGTTTAAAGACTGCATTAATTAGCATTATCATAATTTATTTTAGATAGAATTTTTATTAGACATTTTTAAAAGTGTATTAATGGCATGTTTCTATAAAGCTGATAGATGTTACTAGGAATTTCAAGGCAACATGAAATGGCAGCTTTCTGTGACATTTAAGAAACATAGATAACACTTGAACAAATTAGAAATGAAAGTTTTAGCTCCATTTTAATTTTTAATGTTTTTATTACACATGATGCTTCTTGGAGAACTTGAATATCAAAAATCACCATAATTTGGGACTAATAATTTTTTTAGCAAATACTCGTATATTTGCTAAAAGTAGCCACATTTGCTGGAAGTAGCCACATATTTAGAACATGGACATTTTTCTATTTAAAAAATACTACATTTGTGTGAAAGAGCACATGAACTGCAAAAGAGGAAATTCTTTTTGAAGTTGACCAATTTGTGCTAATCAATTTAACACCACTTGAAAATTCTAGACTGAGACTAATTTTTAGAGCAAAGTTTTGAATTCATTTTCTAGATACCAAACAATACTTTATGCTGAAATTATTACAACACAGTACAATGGTATCTCAGTTCAGGGACTTAATTTGTCCCATGATTCTGAGGAAGATGAGCACTTTCTTGTTCCTATGGGAAAGATAGCCCCAGTCTTGTTCACCACCTGATGAGGTGTTCATGTGTAGAAGGAAAATTTTGCCAAATTGTTCACAAACAGAAGTGTTCATGAACTGAGGTATTATTGTATTTTCTCAAGTTTTAAAACACACATTTAAGGATGCAAAAATTATTTCTGCCATCTTTGTAAACTAGCTATACAACATTCCTATGCTGTAGGAAGTATATTTTTCTTCATTTGAGGAAATTGATAAATGTTTATTAATATGTTTTATTTTAAAGAAAGAAAAAAGAAAAAGTACAGAATTTCAAAACAAGATAATAGGAGATAGAGCGGTGCTCATGTTGGAGCATGCGTATAATCATAGCCAGGAGACTGAGGCAGAAGTGTCCCAAATTCATGTCCAACCTGGGCAACTTTGTGACTTAGCAATACTCTGTGTCAAAAAATAAAGTTAAAATGGGCGGGGGCTCTAGCTCAGTATGAAGGCTTGAGGTTCCATACCCAGTGTGAGGTGGGGTGGGGGTAAAAAGCAAACAGAAAAAAGAAAAGAAGAGAAAAGAAGAAATGAAAACAGAAAGTTTTTAATATTACATTATTAGCAGGTTTTAAATTGAGTTGGCTGTGTGGCTTTGATCAATTCACATATCTTCTGGGAACCTTAACTCTATTAATAAAAGGATTTTAAAAATATAGTAAAACCGACTTAACAAGTTTGATCTGAGCGGTTCATAGATCGCAGGCACAGCGGATGTGCATCGACAGAGCCGGCGCACAGCAACTGTCTCGTACAGGGCGTGTGCTACTGTTCACATTGCAGCCGCCGCCCGCGTTCTACCCGCGCTCTGTTTCCTTTATTTTGCTTTGGACCACGTGGATGCAAGCCTGCATCAAATCAACTGTACACCACATGGGTTCAAAATGTACTGAACAGCCACTAAGACCCTCTATAGAAAAGGTTTTAGAGTGAAGGATTTTTCAACGAAACTGGAAACCTGGGTCATTTGCAAATATCCATTAGTACAATCTTATGCAAAATTCCAACTATAAACTGGCACTATGGCATAAAGTTTCCTGTGTGCCTGTTTTAGTTTATGAAAACAACTTCAGCTATGCAGGAGTCAGGAAAATAGATCCTGAGTTAAAGTTTTAAAGAGATCCCTGTATAAGACAAGATGCTCAGAATGAGGTTTATACCGATACAAGACACAAAGATGTTTAATTGCAGGCCCAATTATGTATCAGGAGCATGAAATCCATCCAATTTCCATTTACAAATGCTGTGTTAAATAGCTGAGACCCTCTCAGAAGGAATTAAGTGTTATATTTCCTGTTTGGTGTTTATGCTCAACCGGTGCATCCGCTTCAATTTAAGCAGCTTCTTTTCTACTGGAGCACTCTAATGCCAGTCTATAATTGGATAATGTGCTTCCTGCCTCCAAGCAGCGAAGTTGTTCTCCCTCCCCAGAAGTGTATTGAGCCTTTCTTCACCTTCAACTCTCCCCCTCCACCGGCTGAGGGAGCACGAGAGCTTGGCACTGGTGCCAGAGGCAGCCCCTCTCCCTTCCGAGGCTTCCGGGGGCGACCTCCGCTTTGAAATGGGAGTATGAGCAGCCGTGCCATTTACTGAAACTCAGTTACACCGAGTTTTTTTCTGTCCAAGAAGTTCAAACAAGGAGCTTGCACTTTAATTAGTCACTATTGTTAAAAGTTTGCTTGGGATATACAAGACAAACTCTCTGCTGTGCTTATTTTGTATATTCCTTTATTTAAATTTGTTTTCTGTTACATGCAAACATTGCAATGCTAATATAGTCTCTCTCTCTCTGTGTCTCTTTCTCTGTCAGACACACACACACTCACACTCACACACATAGTCACACACCACTCCCAACGCCAAGGGGAAGCCATATGTCCCATGTGAGACCTACTTGGGAAAAGAGAAGGGTGGCACGTTCCACACAGGCTCACTGGGAGAGGACAGTCATCATCACTGGCGATGAGAATTTTCTCACCCTCAAGACATGCAAATGACTTTTTCATCTGTTCTTTTTATGTTATTTGCATAATTTTCTCCTGCAAAAGTGAGAACTGTCAAAAATTAACCATTTGGGACTTCCGTACGCAGCTCCACGACCTCTTTTCAGAGAACTAGATCTCTCTCAGGAGGAGGGGGACTCCTAACCCTGCATGTCAAGATGCAGCCCTGCTCTGAGGAGGGGCTCATGTCAGAGAAAAGGGATGGTGGCCGTGGTAGGCAGGTAGGTGAAGGCGCAGGATCACATTTGAAAAGTTGTTGGACATTTTTTGTAACCTTTCACAACCTTGGTTATTTTTTGAGTGAGTACATCAGTATTTCCGCAGACCATAGATGATTCAGAACGTGTCACACAGTTTACTCTGCTGCCTTACTCAGGTTAATAGCACACTGTACACACTTTTGCATCTGGGATACTCAGTGAAAACTCTATTGGAAGAACCTCAAAAGCACTGCTCTCTTCTGCATGGCTTGATCTGAGTGCTCGTGTCTGTACAAAATTGCTTAATATACTCCTTTAGTGTGAATACTACCTTTTTATAAATTCAGACAGTTGCACCCTGGGGGCCTCGGATAAATCTCTAAATTCATTTGACTTAGAGGTTGGTATATGTAGCAAGCTAGGGGCAAATACAAGTGCAGCTATCTCTTTTATCACACTGCTTCAGCACTTGCCAGTTTTAGACTTCTATTACAAATCAGCTCTCTATCAGTCTAGTAATCGGTGCACTGTTCCTTACATCTAGCACAAACGCATCTTGGAAAAAAAGGCGGGGGAAAGCGCATTTGTTTAGGTCTTGAAATGGCTAACACAGAGGCTAATCTCTTTGCAAATTATACTGAGAGTTGTAGTTCCCCCTTTAGGCTGGAAAGGACCGGATTCCCAAGTGGCCTCCGTTCCTTTCTAATTCCCAGGAGCCCCACCAAACCCCTGCGTCTGTGAGTGACTCCTATGGAGGGAGCATTGCTTGCTAATCAGGTCGATGAATGGAGCGGGCTCCGGGGACATGACAGCAGCCCATCACAGCAGCTAGGGAGCCTCCAGACGTGCAAGCTCGCGGAGCATCTCCGCTAAGAAACATCGCTTAGTCCTCATTTACTCGCCGAGAATCTCTGAGGATTTCAGCTGATCTCCTCTCTCCCCTTAGACAGTGAGGAGCTCAGCATAAACAGAGAAAAGGAGCACAGCATGCCGCCACTTGGAGGGTGTTGATTGAAAACTTCGATCTCCCCACCCCATTCACGGTTGATTTGACGGATTTCTCACCTCGTTCACAGAGAATATTTCAATTAAGGTAAGTGCTGCTTTATCTGGGTGACTGCATCCCGCTGAATTTCTGCATCGAAAGTTCTGACCGACTAAACTGGCATTCTGCACTGCAGCAAGTGACTGTTTATGTCAGGAAAAGGCTTAGTTTATAGGCAAGTGTCCTAGAATGAGAACTGGCATTTGTGGGTAATGATATTTCAGAGCAATTATTTCGAAATAGAATGATTCTGCCTTACATCAAAAGAATAGAAAAGGAAATGTGAAGAGAGACCTAGTTTCTCATTTTACCTTTCATAAACTGTTTTAGAGGACTGTGACTGGCTATGGATTTTGCATGAAGTGGTTTGTTGGTATTGCATGGTAAAATCTCAGTCTGAAAACTGCAAAGTTTAATTAGGTGGGAAGAAAATTTGCAAATGAGAGTTGAAATTTCATGCAGCTTTTTACTTTAGCAATGTTCCTAAGCTCTCTTTGGATCTAAGGAATTTGAAATAAATCCGGGATATTTTAAGTTTTCATTGTGGAACTAAAATTTAAATATTATAATTTTTGATGAAATTTCTAAGAAAGTAAATCTAGAAAATATAATATTTCATTAATATAATTGACTGTTTTCATACAGTAGAATGGAATCCTTTCATAAGTTAGGATAGTAAGAAACAGTAAAGAAAAATTAACTGCTTTCTGAAATGCTTACTTTTGAAAGGATAAATTTTATAAAGAGACTAAGGTTATATGTTTAAATTTTATGTTTGGGCATTTTTGACTGGGGTGTGTTTTTATCATCAATGAACAGTAGAATGAGACAAAGCTTACATTTAATAGAAGTGTATGATAATTTTGTCTGTAGCTTAGATAAACTAGTTCATAGTACTTCTTTTGTACTCACTGTTCTCATAAACTTCATATTATTTCTTCTACATCCATTTTTCATCCATTTTTCCTCATAAGATGGTTAAAATTATCTAGAGAGATAATGAAAGAAACTTTCCTCAAAGTTAGATTTGGTTATCTGAACTTCCCCTTTTCTCTGTAGTTCTCCAGACTTTGGGTGTGCACGTATGAGTAGAGTCTGACAGTTTTGTACTACATTACAGTAAGCTATTGAGTAATCAAGAAAAATAAAATAATTCCATCACTAAAATGATAACTGATCTATTGATTGCCACTGTATGTATAGGAAGAATAGCAACTTCTGACCTTCCTATTCTGTAGGGCTTTTACTATAAATTGATTTGCATGCAATAAAAATTATTTAAAATATAATCAAATATTGTTATATAACTTTCACAAGTTGAATTTCATACTTAATCTGTAATGTTAATGCAGAATGTAAATTTATAGCTGCCTTCATATAAATATTGCTAATGCTATGTTAAATGTGCTTTAGAGAGGGACCGCTCATATTTCCTTAAATGTTGATTCCATCTTCTTCTGCTGGTATCTTGATATGGGACTTTGTACGAAAATATTAGAACACTGTTTATATTTGTTATCTTTATGAAATCCCTTGGAGACCTTTTCAGGCTGATATCAATGTTATTGCTTCTTACACAGGAATAAAATATTTGAGGGATTCCCATAGGTACTGAGGTGTAATTGCTGGTTGTATGTATCCAGCTAAACCCTGAAGATATTTATCTACTTCTTTTACACTAAGACTTTGTTTTTTTTCCTCTCTTTTTTTCCCTAGGTAGATCTTTCTTTCTGGCACATTGCTGTAGTACATAATGATTTCATTTATCGTGGAGAATTGGGATTCTTCATTTTTTTTACTTTTCCCTCTCTTCTCACTTTTCTTCTTTTCATCTCTTGAATGCTTTCACCTATAAGTATACATTTTTGTACACGTTTGTCCTGCATAATGATCTTGTCCTTACTACATGTGCCCAACACATGAGTTGTGATGTTGGGAGACAGTTTCTTCACAGATTCTGTGCTAACTGCAAGAAGGTTGTGTTGACTATGATGATTGCCAATGGGACCTCATCTTCTTGTTGCTTTTCTTTTTTCTTTAAGCAAACTTAGTAAAGAGAAACAACATTAGCTAAACAAGGCCACATTTGATTATAAAAAGTGTATGAGGGGCTGGGAATTTAGCTCAGTGGCACAGCATCTGCCTGGCAGGTGCAAGGTTGTGAGTTCCATTCCCGGTACCAGAAAAAAATAAAAAATAAGAAACCACCACAAAAGTGTATGCACTGCTTAAAATATCTCTGTCCTATATTATGTGCCAAATTCAAAACAAGTGGTGACATCAGACCCCGTAATTTTGCATGGATGTTTTTACCCCTGAAATGTATGACCAGTGTATGACCATTGAAGGTGCATTTAGTGTTTAATAAAATCCATTTGTTTAAATATGAAACCAGTTAATAAAATCCATGTGTTTAAATATGAAACTCAGAAAGATCTACCTAAAGTTTCTAAAGAAATTGTATCTTGTCTACAGTTATCTCAGCCTGCATCATACAGACAGATAAGGGAATGGGGAACATCTTCTCTGCAATTGAAAACTAGCAGCTGGTTAACAGTTCTCGTTTCTTTTTATTTTTTATAAGTCATTATTATATTCTCCTTACATGCCACCATACTTCTAGGTTCTGCATTGATTGCCATTGTTCACGTACTTATTTCTTCTATAAGACCAGAAAATATCTTATAAGACAAGCTCACTTAGAGTCAGGTGGTTAAAAATTTAAAGAAAAGGTTCTATAGCAATGTCATGAAACTTGCTTCAAGTTATATAGCCTGCCCCTTCGTATATGGTATTTTAAATAAAAGACAATGCAGAAGGCAGGATATGGCATATCTTGTGTGCCTCCTAAATGTGTAACGTCTGAGTAATAAACTTACGAGTATGGTTCTACAAACATCAAGTCAAAAGGATAGCATTGTTTTGTTCCATGTCACAGAGGAGATGGAACCTAAATGAAATCAGGTAACTGGGCCAAGAGTGCATGATAGCAATAATGAATATATGTGCACTGACACTTGTATCTGGATATTGAAGATTAATATACATTACAGCACACTTCCCTATTAGTTTGTAAATGACAATAGCTTCCAATATCTGCCATGATAAAAATGAATATTTTCAGACTAGTTAAGCCAATGGACAGTAGTTATATTACTCTCATAATGATTTAATGTTGGCTTAATAAAATAAGCAATTTTTTAAAAAAGGTGTGTAACATGTTCGTTTAAGTTCTGAAGAGCTCTTTGTGGCAAATTTTATTTCCAGCTAATTCTGATTATTACTAACAGAAAGGACACTTTCTGTTCTCTTGTGAACAGAATCAATATGAAAATTTCAATTGAGTGTCAGTGATACATACATCTTTACAAAAGAATTAAACACACTGGGGATAAAACAAAAAGGAAATGTAAAGATATAACTTTAGTGACACTTGTATTAAAATGTGATCGAAGGGAAGTTAGTGGCAAAAGATATCCAGAACCTTAGAAAGAGAAGTGAAAATTGCAATTGAATGTTGGAAGGACACTTCAGATTTAAATTTTCAGGAATATATTTTTCTATTGACTTCATGGAAGTCTTTTTTAATATTACACATACATGCTAATCATACAGTGTATCTAATCATGTTGAAATTCTGAAAATATCTGTTCATTCAAATAAAATTTGACCCTTTCTTACATCAAAAAGCAAGCAATGTAAAATTAGTGTTGTCTTAGAAAATTTAATATGACTAACTGTCATAGCCAAGGATGTGTTAGGTGATAACTAGAAGTTAGACTGCATCTTTTTAAATTATGATCTTGTATTCCACTACAGGACATTCCAAACTCTTCCTTAAAAAAGGAAGAAAGAAGGAAGGAAGGAAGGAAACAAAGAAACAAAGAAACAAAGAAAGATAACAGATATTGTAAATAATAAAGGTTCAACAGAGATTAGAAACACAATCAGAAAATATGTAATGGTCTGTGTAGTCTCCAACCCTAACTTTTGCCTCTCTAGAGGGCTTTTATAAACTCTTGTGCTATCTTCATTGTGTATATGAATGCCAGAACAATGAAATGTTATTTAAAAAGAATACATATGCCTTGTAGACCTATATTGCAGCAGAGATTCTAATGGTGATTGTTTAAAATGTGAAAATACTGCCCAATGAGAATATAAGACCATGTGCCAGGGATCGAGGAAGAAAGGAAGGAACAGAAAGGGAAACAAACAAACAAATAAACAAGAACAGCAATAACAAATATGTATACATATATATCTCTAAGAAGTTCTAAAGAAAGGAAAAGGAAAAATAAAGATCCTGTATCTTGTTCTTACGGACCTCAAAATATGCGAGCAGAAATAAATGTGACTAGGCCTAATGCAGCCATCACAAGAACTGCCAATGACTTTCTCATACCCTTATAGAAAAAGCATGTCTAGTATATCACCAAGACTTTAAGCACAAAATATGGGGCAAATCACTAGAATTTGATGGGGAGAAGCAAAATTCAAAGCATTCAGAAACAGTAGTTTGTAGAAATTACAAGTAATCTCCCATCATAAAGTTGGTATAAGAAAAAGAATTGCTTTTGATTAATGAGAAGTATTTTCTAACTTCCCATAATGACTAACTGCAAAAAGGCAAAAATAGTGTGAAGTGGAGTGATATTTCAGATGTACCATGTATGGATAAAATTTTCTCCTATCTTCCAGGGTTTTTCTCTAGGGTTTCAGTGTCATTGACCAATTCAAAATGAGCTCATCATTTTTCATTAGTTGAAAGGATAGTAACATCTTGAATACAAACCCATAGTTCTGATAGACAATGGAGCGGGCAGCAGTGAATAATAGCTGTAACTGTGTGGTCCATGCAAAACGTCCTCGGTTCCAACCCAACCCAGGGAAGCTGCTTTCTTTGTCTGAGTCTATTAAGATGTCCATGTGCTCTTCATGTTCTTTACAATGCAGCTAACCATGCTACTGCTACTATTACAGAGTTGTGAGGAGTAAAATAGGTAATTAGTCTCACATATTTATAATCTCAGGACACGGTAGCTATT